ATCAATTAATTATCTTCTTCTGCTCCCTGCATTTGCCTCATTTGGACCGCGCAATAACCATGGAATGAACTTTTTAAAGCTGCGACATGCAAAGACGCTCAGAAAAATGACCTTGGGAAATTCATTAAATTTTCGTTATTTTAAAAATAGTCTGTTGTACAATTTTATATTCCATTAGAATATTACATATGGATAAAAATACATAAACTTTATGTTTATTACCAATAGTATTTTACAGCTCGTATTGTTAGAGTAATAATGAATGTAACAAAAATAACAAATGTCTATATTATTGTATTGAAAATTATAATCTATGCCAATTTACCCATTTTTATAATCAAAATTGTTTTGGAGAACCTTTTAAAAATAAGGGAAAATGTGAACCAATCAGATAGTTCAAAAAGTCGAATACCTTTTTGAATTAAATTCTAAGAATTGTATTCAGATTCACCTCTAAATGACCCTCGACGTTTTTTTCAGCTATATAATCTTTAACCAATTATTAATTGTAGATCTTGTAAAGCTTTTTGTATTATAAAAATCCTCCTTTCTTAACTAATATTTAATACACTTTCAGATGATCACAGCAAGTTGAGCTGGAACAATATGGAGATGAACAGCTGATGTTTCATTGCCATCCAGGCTGGACCTCTAACCAATCCCAATGTCCCTAACAAATCCCTTCTCCCTCAAGAAATCCTCTTTTTGGTTACCCTTGGAAACACCCAATAACAAAGAAAAATCTATAATAATGTTTGTAGCGTTTGTTTGTCAGTTTGAATTCATAGTTATTTTTATTTTGTGTACGGTGCAATATGGAAAATATATATGTAAGATAATTCTTATGCAAAACCAGTTAGTAAGTATCTTGATATTTAATGCGTAGGAGAGACGTGGGATTTAAAAAATATAAGAATGAATAATTATAATAGTATATAATATATATATATATATACCGAGTTGGTCGAATATTATTTGAAGTAGTAAGTAATATACTACTTTTTACTGCGTAGTAATATCTTTTTTCAATATGTATTTAGTACTTCACAAAGTAATATACTACTTTGAGTAATATACTACTTTTTTGATCATTCCGAAACAATAAGTAAAGGCAATTCAAACAGGATTTGTAAAAATCCTCACCAACCTAGTTTGCATTTTTATATAATAATCCTATATATATATTATATTATAAAATGAGCACATGGCTCAAAATGAGTAAAGTGGGTGAATTCAAAGTCTAAAAAATGACTTCTTACATTATGAGAGGCATGGTTTAATTATCCAACCCAAGCCCTCGGGTCCCGCCTGGCTGATATAACTTTTGATTTAGGGTTGAAACCCCCGCCAACTCTGGGAAGGTATAAGAGAGTCCTTATTTCAATCCATACACCCCAAGCCCTCGGGTCCCGCCTGCTGATATAGGCTTTTTATTTAGGGTTGAAACCCACCGCCAACTCTGGCTAGTATAAAAGGAGTCCTTACTTTCAATCGCATCACCCCAAGCCCGGGTCCCGCCTGCTGATATAGGCTTTGATTTAGGGTTGAAACCCACCGCCAACTCTTGCTAGGTATAAAAAGGAGTCCTACTTTCAACTCATGCACCCCAAGCCCTCGGGTCCCGCCTGCGGTAATGGGCTTTTATTTAGGGTTAAAACCCACCGCCAACTCTGGCTAGGTATAAAAGGAGTTCTTACTTTCAATCTCATACACCCCAAGCCCTCGGGTCCCGCCTGCCGTTATGGGCTTTTATTTAGGGTTGAAACCCGCCGCCAACTCTCGTAGGTATAAAAAGGAGTCCTTACTTTCAACCTCATACACCCCAAGCCCTCGGGTCCCGCCTGTTGACATAGGCTTTTATTTAGGGTTGAAACCCACCGCCAACTCTGGTAGGTATAAAAGGAGTCCTTTTTCACTATCATACACCCCAAGCCCTCGGGTCCCGCCTGTTGATATAGGCTTTATTTAGGGTTAAAACCCAACCCCAAACCCTATTAAGGACCCTATTTTTATTCAAATTCAGCCCAAGTCCTCGTGTCCACCTGTCGACTTAGTCTATTTTTGGGTGTCGAAACCTACCGCCAACTTTATTAGGAATGAGAGGGACCCTATTAATATTTGCAAATTTTTTACCTAAGCCTGACTGGGGATAAAATATCCATTTATCACTCTCATTAATCCAAAACCCTCAGTCCTCGCCTTCTAAGGCAGGGATTCCTTTAGGACCAAACCCAACGCAAACCCCTTTTGTGTATATGAGGTACCCATAACAAAGAAAGTAGGTCTTAAGCCTGCAGCCCGCCCACCGATTTAGGCTATTCTTTTGGGTGCAAACTCTTTCCACCCTAGTAAGGCATAAGTGGGACCCTAATTTTAAGTATCATATACCCAAATCTGTCTGGTCCTGCATTTCATATTATCTCGTACTATTTTAAGAAGTTTGTTTTCATTTCATACTGCCCATGTCTTAATCATGGGCAGACATAGAAAAGCAAGGGATATTTTGGGCGTGTGAAAGGGAGAATGTGTGAATGGTGCAATTGAGTTCAACCTCTTGTTATCACTATTCTCTTTCCTCTTTTGAGTTCCTACAGGTATACAGAACAGAAGCAAAAACAGAGATTCAATAAAAAATAAATACCTCCCGTTCCGGCCAACTTGGCCTGCTTCATAAATGAAATAAATATTCCTCAAGAGAGGAAAGAAAATAGTGATAACAAGAGCCTGGACTCAATTGCACCATTCACACATTCTCCCTTTCACACGCCCAAAATATCCCTTGCTTTTCTATGTCTGCTCATGGGGAAAAAATATTGGTAGTTCTCACAAGTCCTATGGCTTTACTGGGGGAGAAGATCAACATATATTTTTTTAATATTAAAAAAATGTTGACATACAGAGAGAGGGGAGGGTTTGGGATGTGTTGGGCTTGACTGTATGTGCCAAATCTGTATAACCAAAATCTGAAGGGCCTTTTTGAGTCTTATGGCATACTTGTTCTGAGGTTTTTATGTTTATATATTGCCTGTTTAGTCGATCATATTATATCCCGAGAGGGGATGGTCATTTTTGGTCTACCTCATTGATAAGATCCTAGGTTCGATAGACTAATTTTAATGCTATAATGCTTATTTATATCCTATCGGATACAATTCTATCGAACCATATAGGCAAAAAAAAGTAAGGACTCCTTTTATACCTAACGAGAGTTGGCGGTGGGTTTCAACCCTAAATAAAAGCCCATAACGGCAGGCGGGACCCGAGGGCTTGGGTGTATGATTGAAAGTAAGGACTCCTTTTATACCTAACGAGAGTTGGCGGTGGGTTTCAACCCTAAATAAAAGCCCATAACCGCAGGCGGGACCCGAGGGCTTGGGTGTATGAGATTGAAAGTAAGACTCTTTTATACCTAGCCAGAGTTGGCGGTGGGTTTCAACCCTAAATAAAAGCCCATAACGGCAGGCGGGACCGAGGGCTTGGGGTGTATGCGATTGAAAGTAAGGACTCCTTTTATACCTAGCCAGAGTTGGCGGTGGGTTTCAACCCTAAATAAAGCCTATATCAGCAGGCGGGACCCGAGGGCTTGGGGTGTATGAGATTGAAAGTAAGGACTCCTCTTATACCTTCCCAGAGTTGGCGGTGGGTTTCAACCCTAAATAAAAGCCTATATCAGCAGGCGGGACCGAGGGCTTGGGGTGTATAATATTGTAAATTAGGGTTCCTCTCATTCTAATTGGGATTGGCGTGGGTTTCAATCCTAAAGCCCCAATCGACATGCGGGCACGAGGGCTTTGAGGACTTATTTTCTTTACGATAAAATCTCCATAATAACGAAAAGGGTGTTCTGTGGTTTTGGGTCTAATGGAATCCCCTGTCTTAATATCAATATTGACGTGCATTTTTAATTTTATTAATAAGCAGTATTATGTCCATTGGGTGACGTCACATACATTCACAGATCATAAATTTTCATCAAAAATGCCTGTCGAATATTTTTTTCACGAAAGTAATATGTAACTAGGATATTACATATTAGTTATTACTTGAAAGTAATATCTAATATGTTTGTTCTTTCTAGTTATTGCGCAGTAATATCACAAGTAATATATACTCGCACGCGCGTTAGGGAACAACACTGTATATATTATATAATATATATATATATATTATATATATATATATCTATATATATATATATAGAAATATATATAT